TTTCCCTAACAAAAACCTGGTTGAAATTAGGGGGAGGGTCCTCTCCAGAAGTCCATATCACCCCTATCACGGTCCGCTTGGTGTGGAGATGTTGGCAGTATAGGTGACTGCGGTGGTGAAGAACTGTGATGGTGAGATCTGCGCTGAACTGCTGGGCCAAGAGCTGCAGCCCTCGTCCTAGGTATTTCTCCTGGCGTGATAACAGCAGTCAATCCAGAAGTCCATTGTCGAAGTTGAAGAAGGTGCTTCCACTAACCCACTGGGCTGCATTCTGCAGTTTGTCCTCCTGGGTATTTCTCCCGGCGTGACGACAGCATGCAGCTCAGAGGATTAGCTGCAGCGTAGAGAGAAGGACGGAATAAGGGACCCCCTCTGATCGGGAGTGCTGGGTTCCGCAGCCCCTCGTCCTGGGTATTCCTCCTGGCGTGCCAACGAAACGCAGCTCAAGAGATCAGTGGCGGGTCAGGCAGACCTAATACCCTAGAAACATCCTAGCATCTCCTAGCACCCTAATATATAAAAAATATGTCCTATAGTTCTAAGCTCGTGGACGAAACGTGGTACAATAATGCTCCTGGACCAAACCAGTCATTGAAAACATCACTCACCTTCTGAAAAGGGTTGAAGAAGTGCCAGAAAACATCTCGGCTCGGGCACGTGGCATCACTCCCAGGCGGCTCCAAAGCAGCGAAGACCCAAATCCAATTTGGTGACGGTGATTACGCCTAGCGTTGAAACGTTGAAAAATAACTTGATATTTCACCTGATTTTCATCGATTGATCAAAAATATCACCACCAAACGGCTCGTGTCTTCCATCATGGCTGTCCAAGAAAAGATCCTCAAGAAGCAAAAGTCCCTCGGAGTCCACTCTTCCCCCCACCCTTATTACCATAGACCACTCACGAAAAAACAAAAATCAGAGAGAAAAATACTTTCCTTGCATTCTATTGGTCGAGATAAGGGCTGAGAACCAGTAGTTCAAATAAACTTATTCGAAACAGGAACCAAAAACATTCTTCTTTTTGGCTTTCACAAGTCCATGATGTGAATAAAAAACAGTGGCAAGTATCTTGAAAAGATTTTGGTTTCGTGGTATGCCAAGAAGCATATTCAAGGATGTTTTGAATGCTTGTTGGAAAAACTACCTGGCGGCAAGAGACCTGGGAGACTTCATCCACCAAAAATGCCTGAACGACCTATGCAAAAGATTCATATCGATCATTTAGGACCATTTCCAAAGAGTCATGGTGGAGAAATGTATATATTTTAGTGATTGTGGATGCATTCTCGAGGCTCGTGCAGTTATTTCCTTCAAGGACCACGTCGGCGTAGGAAGCAGTATTGAAAATGGAAATGTTTGTTAATCAGTTTGGCACACTACAGATTTGGGTTAGGGATAGAGGGGCGGCGTTTACAAGTGGAGAATTTAGGGACTTCTGCAAGAATTATTAAGAACTTGATTGCTGCTCAGTTTCCACAAGCCAATGGGATGGCTGGAATAAAAATGAAGTCAATTGTACCAATAATTATTACTTCTGTGGATTTTCAAGATGGAAACTGGTGCAAAAACATACTTGTAGTTGAAAGGGAAAGCAACGCTGCAGTAAACAAGACTACGGAATATTCTCCTTTCGAATGTTTATATGGTTATACCCCTACCTTCGAAAATGCAAAGATGGAAAATTTCGCGGAAAGAGATGAGAAGCAGGAGAATCGTCAAGAAATCAGGAAAAAATAGTGTGTGAAAATGTAGAAATAGCACAGATAAAGTATAAACAGTTTCATGACAAGAAAAAATATGAAGGTATAGAATATAAAATCGGGGATATTGTAGTGAAAAGGAATACTTCTAAAATAGCTACAGGTGAACCGACCAAAACACAATTTAAATTTCGGAGACCCTATGTGATAATGATGTTTCACAATTGAAAATTTATGGAAACCATGAAGAGGATGAAATGGATGGAGAAACAAATGATATGAACAACACAATAGAGGAAACCAATTTTTGTTTTCCAGAAGTAAAACTTGAGAATGAGCCAGTGAAGATGGTGATTATACAGGAGGTGGAATTATCAATAGACCTCGAAGAAAGATCAAAAGACCTTCAAGAGTTCAGAACTATGTTTGGGGGGGGGGGTTCCAATATTACGAGTAACAATATGGTTTTCCTCTGAATCTAGTCGGAATATATTTTGTAGTTTTCAATATAATGAAAAAAAGATGGGGCTCAGCCTACTGACAAAAATGCGCTGTTAATTTCTGTCTCCAATCGTTAATTGTTGGCAATATAAACATGGTATTTGAGAATGAAACATTTTGTTATTAACATGCCATGATGGTTATCTGCAAGTTTTTCCTAAGTCACCATTCTGGTCCTCAGTAATATTTGGTTGAAAAGTATACTAATTTCTGAACACCCATTGAAAGTAAACTGTCATGCGCGACAGGGCGCAGTTGTGCGATAGTTTTTGAGTCAATCTAGCAACGTTCAAAAAACCACAGACTACTACCTACAGTTGAAAATAAAACGTTTCAAGAACACAAAATTGATTGAACAAATTGGTGCAAAAGAGGGTTGTCACAACGTTATTGGTTGCCACGCGTCTTATGTTTGGTTGCGCAACTTCCTCAACCACGTATCCGTAACGTTAAACTGCTACTTATGTGTGGACGTTCAGGCATTATATAGACATAAAATGGACGTCTTTGAGATATCCGGTGCTGTGTGAGTCATAATTTTGTGGGATGAAATGGCAATTCTAGAAGAGAACGCAGCATCGAGAGTATATACTCTCACTATTATTAAATTTATTTCAGAAAAATATTTATAAGTTTTATGGTCGCTCAACAGCGCAGAGGCATTTCCTGTTCATTGCAAAGCAATATGTAGGTATAAACCTACCCAATATCTGTTACCAAAGTTATATATGTCACTTCACGCAACTAGGTCCAACTTATCAACATTCTTTCCGTGATCGTTTCAGACTTCGGCAAACTTTTTCGGTATCGGAACCGAAGATATTAGGAGCAGCAGGAAATAAAATAACTTTCTGAATCAATAATAATAGTAATAACAATGTTTATTGGCTTTGAGTTGGGTTTCCGTGAGCGACTCATTTAGATTTAATTGCACCTAGGCGCTATATAGAGCTATCAACTAGTATAGGTTGATGGGTGATGATAACACCGCATCAAATTTTTCGGCACCCAAGTTGCGATGTATTTATCATGAGTACTTATCGTTGAGTCAAGAAGAAGCGAGTTTTCAAGTCATCAGACTGTTTGTCTTCAAGATGAAGGGTTCCTCTCTCTCTCAATTCGTTTCCTCACTCCGAAAAACTATTCACCGATATAAAGAAAATTCAAACAATAAATATGTCGAACTACTGATAAAATATATGCATTCGTTGCACGAATAATATTACCCTTTGTGAAGCAGGCTGAATCTCACTTCAAATGTGAAAATTGATTACTGTCCACTCTTTAACCAGCTTCCTTAATAACACAACTCGATCCAATGGACGTCCTATGGACATCTTCCTCTGGACATCTCGCATATCCATTGGACATCCAGTTCGTGTACACTGGATGACGTATGGACATCCATAGGATATCGCGTTTACAACTTTTCAGCTATTCTTATATGCATGGTATCCGTCAAGGACATCTATATGGTATCCGTCAAGGACATCCATATGGTATCTGCTGTCTTGAACTGGATATGGTAAATTTAATGGGATGTCTCAAATGTATGCATCCATATATTATATAGGAATTAGATCTGGTCAATGAATAGAATCTATGTTTCTGGTTATTATATTTATTTTAAATGTGTCTATATTCAAGAACACTAGGTACCTACTATAATATTTTATATCAGATTGGTGTGATATGTTATTTCTATTGACACATTCCTTCATCATTTCAGTTTGGTTGACTTGACACAATAGACACTCAAATTCAGATTCGTTCTACTAGTTGAAATTCTTCGACATCTTCATCAACACATTCTGGAATGGCTCTTCACTTCAAGTGATCTATTTATTCTTCGACCGAAATGGCATAACGATAAAACACAAGTGTGGACGTCATTCACACACACATATTATTGAGGAACAGTTTATATCAATAATAATGTCACTCAATACAAATTCGAACATGCAAAGATTATCAGAACGCTATACGTACATATTATATCTGAAAATGATGAGATTATCAGTCTCAGTAGCCCCAGATATTTATCAATGCATCAACGTTAACAACAATAACATAATATACATACGCAATAACGTTATAACACCGAAGAAGCCGAACGACGTCGATGATACCCGAGACGATTGATTATGTTAAATAACATTATCAGAGGGGGCAATGGAATGGACACCATGTGAATAATTTTACCTGATGGACATCCAATGGATCGATTCATGTGGACATCCTATTGTTGTCCAGATTGTGTCCATGGACACCTTGGACATATAATCAACAACGTATGGATTACTTCACCTGGACTTCCAATGGATATCTTCATGTGGACATCCTATTGTTGTCCAGAATGTGTCCATGGACACCTTGGACAAATAATAGCCACAATACAGATATCCAATGCACATCTTGTGATATTGGGGATGGGTACCTATACAAATGTAATATCAATATGACCTGAGTACCTGAATACGAGAATCGCCCTTCGAATACTAAAGGGATCATGAGACACTCTGTAGATCGTAGTTTTCAATATCGATTGTAAGGGCGGCGTATGCGCGATGACCAAGTCCCGAATCCAAAATAGATTTTGCCGACTCGGGGTGTGTACTACAGCCGGTCGTGACTCGAACCTCGACCATACTCATACTATTAAAATCGAATTAACATGTTGAAACGGCGTGTCTGAATATCCAAATACATATCTGTCGCATCGGCAGTGGATCGAAGATGTTTTTCTGTTTCGATCTCATGCCATCGGTTTTGGGGATCCAGAAACCGACCTATTAGATGGCAAGCAGTAAAAGTGGAGTGAACATGTTGCGTGATAATCAAATTGCTCTGCTGAGGTCCTTCGAGGCATACATCGTTGTTTTCGCTTTGCTTGCTCAAGTTGTGCCAGGGTTTACCGAGCAAGATGAAGATATTCCTCACAACGAGTAAGTGCATGTGTTTTACTCATACCTAATGCTGATATCGAACAGGATGGTTTGACAGCGTTCATCTGAGTTTCACCTACCGCGACCTAAGTACTTTTCCTCATACAAACTCTTTGCGACATTCGAAATCTCGAGTCCAAAAATAAGAATATGCATTTAATATTCATCGAATGAAAAATTTCGATCAACAAATGCAATCATCAACTATAAAAGCACATGTTCATCAGATAATGTAGGGTATGGGAAAGAACTTTTTTGTACAGTTTTTGGATTTTTGGATACGAAACAAAAAGCATTCACATTTGAAATTTCGTTATTTTCTTCATGAAAATGTGTGCATCTCTCTAACCTCATATATTTCGGAAACATTTTAATCTATATGCATAATAATATATCTACCTATAATCTACCGATCTCTGACAGTGATCAACATTATGAAAAAGAGGTAATCAGGAAAATACCTACTTATAATTTATTTCTATGACCAACAGCACAACTGTATTTTTCACATTCACTCATCATAAGACACTGAATTTTAGGTATTATTTTTATTCTTGCATGGAAGACTGAAGACGAAGAAAATTTAAAATAAAAGTATATCTTGTTCCTTTATCAGTAGCGGTTGGATGGTGTTAGCGCTATTTTAGATGTGCCAACACCGCCTATATGTGCGACATGTCCATTGCATCTGCCTGTACTTCTTATTGAAATTAGTTCTGTCGATTGTCTCATATCTATATCTTGTCTCATATCTTTCGATCTATTCTTGGTTAATGCTCCATAGTTACCTTATTGGTAGTTGTTTTTTTTTAACCTATATATGATTTGACGGCATTCTGATGCATTTTCCTTCGATAATAAGAACCTATTTTCTTTGAAGACAGCAAATTGGTAACCAGATTCCCTTTACTCGTTTCGATTAATTTTCAATTCGTTCAGAAAAAAATGCAATATTTTTTACTTCATCAAAGATTCCATACGCCTTTTAGCAATGTTCCTCTGCCGATGTCCATAAATGCGCAAAAATGTTGGCTTCCTCCTAGGCATATAACAATGATAAGTCAATTAGTTCCTAGGCACAAGCAATTTTGAAATTCTCAAATGAAACACTCTGTTACTCAGACAGCAGACACTTTTTGATATGGTTTAATCTTCATGTTTTGAGCTCAGGATTTTTTATAGTTGGAATAATTCAAATTAGTAAAGAAACACCCTGTCTAAATAATGAATACGTACAGGCTATATTAAGGGTATTCTCTCAGGTATACCCAATTACCATGAACATCCACAAAAAATACGGAGAAGAATAATAGTCGAAAAATATTGTGTTATCATATCATTTTACATCATTTCACCTAATCAGATCACATCCTATTTCAACATTGAGTTCTTTGCATTGAATACTGCTTTTGAAATGTTCACACATCAATACTCCTTTCGATATCAAAAAGTGTAGAGCAAAGAGGATAACTGTTGGACTGTTGCAAGTATGCAAGATCAAGCAATTAAGATGGGTCAATGAAAAATTGAATTCATAAAGAACAAGTTTCGTAATTCATCAGTTTCTAAAATGTTTCTGAGGAGGGGTGGAGAAGACTGTTTCCCCAGAAATTCACCACTGGTATATTTTCTGGAAATTCCACTCTGGATTCATCGGGAAAACAACCTCCTAACATAACGCCAATTGACAGTCATATGCCCGAGATCACCTTTCGCCAACATACTATAAGGAGGATTTCATTGGGTCTCAACCCCAACAAAGCTTGTGGCTCCGAGGGAATCCTACCGATTGTTCTCAAGAAATGTGCTCCCCGAACTAACACCTGTTCTCTGCAAGTTGTTCAACTACTCTTACAAATTGGGGATATTCCCGTCCAACTGGAAAATTGCAAGAGTACAACCAGTTCCTAAAAAAGGCAAAAAGACCCTACCTAGCAACTACAGACCTATCGCACTGCTATCTATTATTTCAAAGATCATGGAGAAAGCTATCAACATAGAGCTCATGAAATACCTGAAACATTCAGGTATTATCTCGGGTATTATCAACGATAGGCAATCTGGCTTCCGTCATCAGAGATCAACTGGTGACCTGCTCGCTTACGTCTCACATATATGGCAGCAATCTATTGAAGAATATGGTGAAACCTTAGCCGTGGCACTTGATATCTCCAAGGCATTCGATCGAGTTTGGCACCACGGACTCCTCGCCAAGCTTCCATCTTATGGCTTGCCTCCCCAGCTATGTTCGCTGCTAGCTAGTTTTCTCTCAAACAGGTCTCTCCATGTAGTGGTCGACGGAGTTTCATCTGACTCTCTTATCATGAATGCTGGTGTTCCGCAAGAATCAATTCTAGCACCAACACTATTTTTCTACTCCATATCAACGATTTGTTGGGAGCAACTTCATGTCCAGTACACAGCTTCGCGGATGATAGTACACTCCATACCGCCTTCTCTTCCATGGCTCCAATACCAGCCAGGCAAATCAGAAACGAACGAGGAAGAAATGTTGACAAAATAAATATGGACTTGGCTACAATTCTCGAATGGAGATCCAATAACTTGGTAGATTTCAATGCAAACAAAACACAAGCATGCCTTTTCTCTAGAAAAGCCGATCTCACTGTGCCCAACATAAGCTTGTCAGGAGTAACCATACATTTGAAGACATTCATTTCGATGCTTAGTTTTACTATCAGCAATAACTTTTCTTGGGAACATCACGTGAGATCAATTGCTAAAAGTACATCCCAAAAACTTGGTTTTCTGTTTCGAGCCAGGAGCTATTTCACGTCCAGTCAGCTGCTTATGATATATAAGGCACAGATCCGACCTGTCCTGGAATACTGTTCTCATATTTGGAGTGCAGCACCTTCTGTTTCGGGCCAGGAGCTATTTCACGTCCAGTCAACTGCTTATGATATATAAGGCACAGATCCGACCTGTCCTGGAATACTGTTCTCATATTTGGATTGCAGCACCCAAACATACCCTGAAACTGTTGGATTCTGTGTAAAAAAGGGCAATTCGTCTCGTGGGTGATGCCTCGCTCACAAACTCACTCACTTCTCTGGAACACCTTAGAAGAGATGGCGATCTGGCTCTATATTATAGATATTTTCATGGACGATGCTCTTCTGAAATATCAACAACTGTTCCTCCCTTGGCAGTCCCACGAGATTAACCCGTCGAGTTGAGGCTTCGCATCCCTTCGTGGTCACTTTGGAGACCTGCAGAACATTTCTCTCCAAAGACTCGTTCATCCAACGAACAGCGAGGCTCTGGGACACATTTTCAAGGGAGGTGTTCCCCGAGGCATATAACCTCCAGAAATTTAAGAAGAACACCAATTCCTACCTTATTTCCCTTGGTTCTCACTATGTTCTCTAAACATTACAGGATATCCCTTTTCGTGGAAACCAGAACATAAAAGAAAATTAGTTCCGAAGTACTAGGCACAAACAAATAATTTCCAAATTTTCAATTGAAACACCCTGTAACCCAGATTGGAGATACATAATTATCCTCGTAATTATCTATATAGGTGATTTGATTTCACTTGATCATTTGGGATTTTCTCTTCTCGTTTCGGGAACGAATCTGCTCCTGTTCTCAACATAAAAATGCAAATTATTTTTCTTCGAAAATGTTTTTGTTATAGTTTGACACCTCTCAGTGACATACTGATGTTGGCATATGGTTGAGTGATGCTGTTCTCGATGATGTTAGTATACAAATGAGTTACAGGATATGGTTCATCAATTGGTCTTGAATCTACCATTCTCATGTACAGTTTTCAGTAGTGAATGCCATGTTTTATCTATATCAACAGAACAGGAAGCAATGCTATTGCCTCCGTTCAGAAGAATGCCTGCGGAATCCTTGATTTTTGTCTTTTGGTTGTTATAAATACAATGAGATCCATTCTAACTAGAAAAAAATCAAAAAATGAATATGAAATAGCTCGAGATATTGAGATAACTTGTAGGAATAATATCTGAAAATTTTGAGATTCATTCACTACACTTCGAGATGAACAACATCTTTCGACGGTAATTTTTTTTGTGAATATCCATTATAATAGCCTATATTCATGGTATGATATTGTGAATAGTATTAACGAATTGATTAAACTTCCCATCAATAATTAGAATATGGCTAAATCAATTATTTTATTCCACTTTTACAGTTTCTGTATGTTTTCACTTGTCAAATACAAATATTTATGTGGGTATGTATTATTTCTGTTGTGCCGTTGTTTCTTGTGTGATAAATATCCAAATAATCAAAAAGTGTCGTTGGTAACTTTATTATAATAATGAAATGTTTCATTCTAGAGTCAAAAACTGGGCTTTGAAGTTTGGAGTGGACCTCTGGGAGTACGGAAAACTAATGACCAGAATGAACGAATTACAAAGGGTAAGTGTGAACTGGTATGATTTCGTTTTTCCAGTTGGATCGGTCTAACATGGTAACCTGACCTATACCTGACAAACCAACCTCATTTCTTGGCAAACATGTAATTCTGGAGGTTCTGTTTCCTGCATTTTCATTTATTGTGGTATGAACCATCATGAATTAGTAAGATGAATACAATCCCCGTGATTTATTTCTTCCAGAAAATTAATAGGTTGCTGCTGTTATTTCGACAGAACATTGTAACCCTTATGATATCATCACTTCCAGTGACATTCATGACATATTTACTTTCGGTTTATTTCATTTTCTGAACCTTACCATCCTTAGATCGAAGAGAAAGAAATTAAGCTAGAACACACTTTTGAAAACTGGTAATAGCTAGTCGTGCGTAATTCTTTACCTAATTTTTCAATGTACTTACCTAATTTTTCTGATTTTGCAATCGTAACATATATATTTTCTGAGGATGCTTTAGGAAATGAGATAAACCGAAACGTATAGGCATATAATTTCATGGAAGTGTTTTTTTTAATTTCTCACCAATTTTTCTCAAATTTTGCTGTGATTATGATATTTGCAAGGATATCGTAAAAGTAACTTGGTAAATCATTGTTTATCCCACAAGAAATATGTTAAAATAGGGGACAATTAAATAAGCGAATTGAAACTTTGAATAAGCCGATGAAGTTGTAGAAAATTTTCATAATTGACATTTGATGAATGAAATTTCACTTCCCAGATACATACAAAGTGTCCTTGAATCAAGAGCAAATAAGTCGAGGGGTGATGTCACCTACAAAGAAAACCAGTGCAACAAATCTCTATATCAAAGTGAAATTTCTTGTAATAGTTAGATTTTGTGTGTAGTTAGATACTGATATTCTTCCAATTCAACACTATCATCACGATAGCCAATTATCTGATTTATTATCGTCCAAAATTCGATCTGAATGCTTCAAAGCCAAAGGGACTAAATTGCTCTTGACTTTTAGATGATGATCTATTGCTCACTCGTTGGATTTTTTTCTCAAACTTTATAGTATACAAAGAACCTCATCGGTAACCTTCAATAAGAAAGAGCTGATATGGAGGAAAAGGCTTTGAAAAATTCACCTGAATCGATACACATAAAAAAGTGCATAAAAAACATACTTTGACTATTAGGCTCTTCCTGTATGGTTTCAAGATCACAAGATTCATAATATATCAACAATTTTCAGGAAATGGTGTAGAGTGATCGATTGTTCATGCACAGATTGTTCAAGTTGGAAATATTGAAAATTGATATATCACGTAAAACAACAAATTGAAAAAAGACAGGGAATCGCAAGATTGGGGTTTATAAGACAAGGTGAAAAGATGAATGGAACAGTGGTACACTCAATTCAATATTTCATTGAACAACTTACTCCATAGATGTACGAGCTCCACAAGACAATTCTGACCACACACTCATCTCCACAACCTGCCATTTTTCATTCCATCAACTGCTTCAGCACCTCCACGTCTTGTATGGCATTATAGTTCAGAAGACTGGGACGGTCTTCTCATGTTTTTCTCTGAGCTTCCTCGGCACAGGTTATGCTTTGCTTCTAAGGATACCTCGCTGTATGCTGCGGAAATATTAGAGATAATCGATTAACCTACAGAGACAGTACATGCATACCTCATTCTTCGGAAATATCATCACCTTCGGATTCCTGGTTCAACAAGTACTGTTCTAGAGCTGTTGACTTGAAACAAACAGCCTACCATCGCTGGACAGGGTTAGACCAAATCTAGATAAGGGTAATCACAATAGATCTTCTAGGTCGCAGTGATCGAGAGGTCGTCCAGCCAATACGACCCATCTACAATCTACAATATGTTGAGGACAGGAATAGCTGCAGCGAAACAATAGATGTATCAAGAAAAAATATACAATGCCAAAATGAGAACGGAAGTCATAGACTGTCTCAATGGCTCCCGTTCGTTTTGGTCCCTTGATAAAGCAGTGGGGAGGATTTTCACTGAAAGTTCATTCCCACTACTCTCCAAAGCCGATGGCACATTAGCAACAACATCGCAAGCGAACATTACTGTAGAGATCCAAATAAGATTACCAGAGAAGAGTGCCGTGAGATGTTCCAAACATTGGAAGTCGAATAACTAAAATCGTCTTCCGTCAACGCACTATCAGACGCATTTTGCTTGATCTCAAAATGAATAGGGCAAACGATCCTGATGGAATTCCACCCTTCATTCTCAAAAAGTGTGCACCAGAATTGACCTCGATTCTCTGCGAATTACTCACCATCTCGTACAAGTCGGGTATTCTTTCCATCTTGTTGGAAAATAGCTATATAGAGTTCAACCAATCGTCAAAAAATTAAACAAAACCTACCCAATTACTATAGGCCAATTATTGCTCTGTCATCAGTTATCTCCAGAGTGATGAAGAAAGCGAGCGTATCAAGAATCCGGAAAGCTCAGTAATCATCAATGATAGACAATAGGTTAGTGTGGAAAAATCGGTTCACTGACCTATCACTTCACCTTTAATTTGCGACCTATACTTCCTTTAGTACTATTATAATTGTTCAAATCTGTTATTTTGTTCAATGGCAGACAATGAACGATCATTATTATTAAATGTCAGCCATATATGATGGCAACGTTCATCAGGAAAACATGGGGACTATCTAGCTGTGGCGTTAGATATATCTAGAGCATTCAACCGTGTTTGTTGCCATGGATTCATCTACAAACTACTATCATACGGCTTACCATCTCAGCTGTCATCTTTCCTCTAGTTTTTTTTTTCAGGCAGATCGCTCCATGTGGTGATGGACGGAGTATCATACCATATGGTATATAGACTATATAGTCATCAATTTCGGCGTTCCACAACGATCAATTTCGGCGTTCCACAACGATCAATTTTGTCACCAACACTTTCTTTACTATATATCAATAATCTGTTGGAAGCAAGGAGCAACCACTTGCCCTATCCACAGCGTTGCAGATGATGCGCTTCTTTCCAGGAATCTAGTACTAATGTCGAAGGCAGTCAATGAAGATCTTGCTGAAATAACAGCCTGGGGAACCAACAACCTAGTTCAATTCAACGCCACCAAAACTCAAGCCTGTAATTTCTCCAGAAAGGCAGATCTCTCATGAATATATCATGTCAGATCCATCGCGAAAGCTGCTTCATAAAAATCCAGATTTTTGTTCCGTGCGAGAATCTTCTCTATATCTCAACAGCTTCTCATGATCTACATACACACAGATACCAGCCAGTTCTAGAATACTGTTTCCATATATATGGGGTTCAGCACCCAAACATAGGCTGATGTACAATAATTCCATCACTAGCAATACCAGCCATATAAACTCGACAAGCCCGAGTTAGCACATGTATCCTCTTGTTGTCAACCTTGAAAAATGTCGAACAACACTTTTTTAATACTCGTTTGTATATAGAACGGCAAAACTTTGGAATTTTTTGTCAGAGGAAGTATCATCAAAAACTTCCGGTAAGATTCTACCTGTACTTGCGAAACCACTTAGTTATTGATAAGTGTTGATACCTTCAATGTACTGGGTGATTATTTGTTTTATTGAACTGATGGAAATTGATACTGTCTATGTTTAATTTGAAACACCTTCATTCACGTACTTCTCCACACTGATTCTCTTTTCCTCCACCCAACATTTGTACCTCCTACGCTCTCGATATAATTTATATACAAGGTGGCCATTTGAAAACGAAACAGAGGCTCCAAATGGTCGCCAGAACCGGATTGAAAAAAACACTGGAACAAGTCAACGACATTTTCGAGGAGGACTCGTTTTGAAATATGTTAGTGCTGCGGTGATGCCGCTGGTATCGAAAAGTAGCAACAACTCTGTTATATATAATGGAGTACCCTGTACTTGATTGTTTTTTTAGATTCTTCTCGAAACGCTGATTTCATGAAATTATCACACTTGGGGTCTAGCGGGAATGATTACAGAGACATGGGGTGTTCATTATCAAGATTTTTCAAATATAGGACTTTTTGTGTCGAAACTATTCATTATTGGTCGAAACGGCTTCTATGTCCCCATCTCAACTTTTGATTTACTATCTACTGACATTTAATTGAAACAGGTACCCTGGACATGTCACTACAAAAACTCGAATATCTCGAAAACGGTTGCGATATTTGTATTTCGATATGAGTACAGTTATCATGTATTTTTGTTCGGTCTATCATTTTCTCATCAAAAAGAATACGAGGAAATATGTTGTCTTCAAAAAATTGTGACCCACCTTCTCAAAACACCCTTTATAACAATATCAGAAATGTAGAAGTGTATCAAAAGAAGGAAAATGTAATCTATCAACATACATTTATACAGGAAAATTCAATCTGGTTGATTTTACCGTTTGGAAGTTATGCGGGAAAATTATTTCAACTTTGGAATCATATATCTCCTATAATATACATTCTGGGTCATTAGTTTATTCAACAAATAATATTTTTCAATGTACTTCCACCTCCAGGAAGCTCGGTACACATGTTGACTCACCTTATATAACATAATGAAAATGATGCTCCTTACTTTGATTCAGGTGCTCTCTCCAAACAGTGCTACCCAATCTGGGAATTTCCACGATCTCTTCGGAATAATACCTTTGATCCAAAATATTTTTGGTATAGTAGGTACGATAATCTTTCACCGTTTTTTTTTTTTTCGGAGGTGGTCGAAACCCTTCATGGACACCACGAAGGACCTTTCCACTAAAAACTTTACCTCCTTTCAAGGGTCGTCTGACCGAATTCTCCGATGACACTTAGGCCTGTTGGCCCATTGTACTATTGTTCCTCGAATATGCCGTAATTGATTTCACCATATACAACCCATGGTTCTTATATAAGGGCCACTTCAAACGCCGCAACAGTAACTGTGAGCACTGCTGCTCACAGTACCAGAGGTTTCTTTGAAAGACACTTTTCATTCAGGTTTCTGAA